CGAACGACTCAAGTGCTCGACTCAATCATCAATCTCTGACTGCAGTTCAATTACGCATTGTAGCCGTCACTTCTTGGCAGCTTATATATACAAGACTACCGCATATCTAGTAACCTCTCGAAAATATGACGTGTTACTATCGTCACGTGACCTTCGCTGTCGTAACAATATGAATAAATGTGCAATTTCAAAAAAGACTGCATGCTATTCAGTTTTGGTGAAAGTTGTTTGATGTGGAAGGTTTCTTTAATAGTAATTCCAGATCTGTGTTGGCCTTGCAAAGGGTATTGAAATTTGGTAAGTTAAGTTTATACCCTATTTCTTCACTTTGTTGGCGTATAGAAGAAGCACAGGGGATACTCAACTTTTCTGTGTTTTCATGGAGATTCCATTATGTTCATTGGCTCTAACTAGTCGATGGCGTTTGATTTTATAGTCTTCTTTTGAATTGCACATTTTTTTAATGTACTATATTTTTGTTCTTTACTCCTTTACTTCCTATGTTTTTAGCTTTCATTAAATTATCGTAATTGCAGCCTTGTATTTTAATACCATAAATAAACGACCTTATAACACCAAAATGTTGTTTTTCTTTAATTAGACACTCAAAGACTCACTTTACATAATGAGCATTATATTTAGTTATTTACTTAAAAATGATGAAATTCTTTTATTTTGCTCTGGATACTGGAGATGCAATCTGAATAATCTCGAAACGTTTATCTGTGTTCCGTTCTGTTGTAATAAACAATGTTGTTTATCTTAATTATCGTTATCCTTTATTGTGAAACTTCGAACACATCGATTAATAATACTTATATATATATTGCAATATGGAATATATATATATTATTGCTTTCAAAAAAGTCTATGATATTCTTTAATAGCAAGTCTTAAAACTGTTTTAATTGTGATGCATAGTTTTATCTGTAAATCATTTAAAGAAAAACGACGAAACGCATGGGCCGCCAGTGGGTCAACGGTAAGTTTGCGAACTCAGAACGCTAAAATCTGGTGTTCGATTCACCGTAGTGAACAGGGTTCAGATTAGATATTGTGCAGCACTGAGCTAAGCAAAAAAAATAAATACATCCACTTAACTAAAATTATTATTAGCTTTATTAATGTTTATAATATCCGTACCTTTTGAATTATTAGAGAAAATAAAACCAAAATTATCTGTAACAAATATTTTTATTTCTTACTTTTCAAGTTAATATGTCATGCAGTGTTGTATCCTAAAGAGTACATAATTCTTCTCGTGATTAATAGCATGCGCACGTTTTACTGACACCACAACAGTACAAGCTGCAACGTTAAGCGTCCTTTACGTGACGTCATTTTAGTGTCTACTGACTGACAGACATCAAACTACTGTATGATAGTGCGAATGGTTAAAACAGGTTACCCCTCCAGGCAGCCTTCGGCTTCCTTTCGGGGAAAATACTTCCTGTTCTTCCAAGTCCTAAAGAGACATTTTTTAAACAAATTATTGTCGATATTATATAATATATGTAATGTTAAGTTGATATTTTATTAAAGTTATCTTTCTACTGGTTGTATTATCTTGCTAACCCTAATATTTAAAGGATTTTTGTGATTGTGTAATTTCTCTTCTCCAGGCTGAAATTTTTGAAACTCGATTTTGATACAAGTTTTAGCTTGTCAAGACTCTGGTGGTTAAACTACACATTTTAGTACTATTGACATCGTCACATAAAAATTACGTACGTTTGTGTATTCCAACAAGATCTACGTTATAGTATATATATTACATCTTTATGGAAAACTCTTTCATCAAATGTATAAATGTCAATTATATTAAAGTGATATACTAATCTATATAACACCATCCCTCTCAGTGTGCATGCGCTTCCTTCTTCATCGATGGTCATTCCAATAGAGAAATAACGAAGCATTGCCTTACTTTGTCAGTGGGAAACAAAATATCACTGTCTTCCATTACAAAGTGTGTTCTACAATACAACACAATCTTTCTCATGAGAGACAGCATGTGACACCAAATGGGAATGACCCAAAACAACAGGCAGCTAGAGTATAAGGAGTTTAGCATAAGTTCTTACTCAACTTTATATTTCAAAGACTACATACACATATAAAAACATGCATATGTAAACAATTTTGAAAATTCTAGAACAACGTGAAATGCTCAACTTACTAAAGAAGATAAGAAACACTAAGTATGCTTTGTCACCAGACCATTACCCACATCCTTACACCACTGCAACAACACAAGGAAAGCAAAGTGTCTTATTTTGCTTTTTCCATAATTTCAGTGTTAGTACAAATAAAGGTGAAATGTGACTCATAAAGACCACGTCATATATTTCCATTCATTCTTTGTACTTTATGCACCCATGACGATTTGCTTTACTGTCTGCGTTTGTGATACTAAGCAATTTTCGGATTCTTTGTTGACTGCAATATGACAAATTTTATAAACACCCTTCACACGGTACAGTTGAAGATTTCAAATCCTGATTATTGTCATTAAATTAGTAAATTGGAACATGACGTGATACTTGTTGCACTTTTCAAACATGTCCAATCATCCTTTTTGTCGGTCTGTCACCAGTCTTTCATGTAACGACAATCCTGTTAGGTGGCTATTCACTATCACCCTCCTCTAAGAGTCAGATAAGTCATTGCTCTTATCACTTACCTAGTAGATAAGGCTATAACTGCAGGATTTCATCTGTGAAACTAAAATAATAACCTAACACACCGCATGATCGGTCTATTTTTATATGCCAGTGTTCTGCAAACGTGTGTGTGAGAGAGAGGAGGTCCTAATAAAGTAGCCAGCTGCTGTACCTATTCGGGTGAACTGTAATTCACTTTCCCTGCACGTTTTACAGTCTACTGTGTGTTTGCTTGTTTTGAATTTCACGCAAAGCTACATGAGGGCTATCTGCGCTAGCCGTCCCTAACTTAGCAGTGTAAGACAGTTAGTCATCACCACCAACTGCCAACTCTTGGGCTACTCTTTTACCAACGAATAGTGGGATTGACCGTCACTTATAATGCCCCCACAGCTGAAAGGGCAAACATGTTTGGTGTGACTGGGATTCAAACCCATGACCCGCAGAATGCGAGCCGAGCTCCCTAACCACCTGGCCATGCCAGGCCTCATCAACTGTGAGCAAACTTGGTATGTGTATACTACTGATAAATGGAAATTGACTAATTTTGAATACCCTAAATTATTAACGCGAATACTACAAATATATAATAAATTTTTGCTAATCCCAACCAATCCGAACTTCGGCAGATCTAGGTGAATTATCAAATTGTTCTTTTGAGCATAGGTATAATCAGCAGATTGACTATTTTTTGTGTGATAATTTTCATTAGTCTTTATAATTCTAAAACTGGTGAATTTCAACTTCTCCAATTTCCAGTTATATTACGAAAGCTAGTTGTTTTACTTTTCTGTGGTGTCCTCTGGTGGACACTATAAGAACTTTATATTTACACAGTTGCACAATTTTTTAGCAGCAACTAGTTTGCCTCCTGGAGACTCAACGGTAGGCTTCTGAGATTATAACGCTAAAAATCAAGATTTGATACCCGCAGTAGACATATCACAGATGACATATGCAACTTTACACTCAAATACAAAACAAACAAACAAGAAATCACAAGTAAATGTAAACAACAATAACAAAAGTTTCATACATATATCTTACCAAAAACAAAATCGGTATTGGGATGTCACTAACAAACTATTTAAGGCAGCTAGTTTACACCAATTACCGCCAAACTAAATAGTGGTATCTGGCCATCACTCTTATAACACAACCACATCCCCAAAGTGACCCTAATATCTACGGACAGACATGCTACCCACACATTACTGTTACCACATATCTACTTTTTTATTCTCGACATTGTTATTTCGGTCTAGTACACTCCCCACCTCTTCCACCCAGGCCAAGCGCACAAGCCTAATAAAATGATTAAACAATTAATAACTTATTCAACAACCCTACTCTTCCAGCGTTTGACGAGCACCTGTGTAACGCACACTAAACACGCCTAACTGTAAACGATCATTTCAAAATATATCCCATAATGCCAAAAGTAAACAATCTTTCTTAACCTTATTCTTGAATCTTTAATATTGTGATTTTAAACAAATGTCAGGTCTTGAGTTATTGTGTATTTTTCCCGTTTTGTTGTCCATACATTTCATTTTATACTTTCAATACATAGACTAACGACAATATTAGGTTATACTTCTGTTGCTAAGTAAAATGACATAAAAGCCATCGTTGGATCGCAGTGTTACCAAAAACGCACCGACTTTTCCATATACTAAAAGTTGTTATTGTTGAATATACAAGATTGTTTAGTATAGGCGTTATTATTTAATTTATTTTGCGAGTTAATATTTAATGATTATTTAGTTTCACAACAAGTGTGTTAAAAGTTAATCATATTAAATGTGGTAGTTATGACAAGTTTGGTTGCGTAACTCGGTGAGAGTAGAACATTGTATGTGTGGTTCAATTGTTGTAGTATTGTTGACAAGTTACTTGAATCTTCGGTATTTTTCTCGTTACCTTAACTGAGTATTGTTACATTATAGCCCCGCTCGTGTAGTTTGTCGAATATTCAAGGCCTCAGTGAACAAAATATAAACATAGGCGACCAAGCGAGCGCAAGTGAAGTGAAGTAAAGCAAAGAGACAACTGCAGTTCAATAAGAAAATTAATTAGCGAAAGAAAACGTGAAGTTAGCCGGCATGCGAGTGATTAGCCATAAGGGGTGATATTTTAAAGCGAGTTTCACAGTTTAATAGAGATAAGGAGAATAATTTGTCTTGTAAAAGGATGTTCTGAAGTAACTGAACCCGTATGTGTAGACTTTGACAAAAAGGAGACATTATTTAAGGTTCAGGATACAACTGTGGTAACCCACAGAGTAAGGTAAGTGAATTACTCACCGATAAGAATAGAGAAAAATAATTCGTCTTGTTAATTGGATTCTTAAGTAATTGAATCAGCCTAAGTGGACTTTTGACAAGAAAAGAATTGTTTAGAGTTTTAGATACAACTGTGATATCCTATAGCGTAGAGTATTTTTGTACATACGTTTCACTTGTTTTGAATATATTATGTAAGACAAGTGGATTGTGTGCTGTCCATTTATTGTTCGAATTTATCGCAGTCATCTACTGTAAAAGAATCCTTAGCCCATATATACATAAAACTCCAGTTTAATTTGACTTCATGAATCATCTTACTTTTGACTGCCTACCTCGACTGAACTTTTCGGACTGTTTGTTAGTCGAGCTTGATTTCGCAAAATTTATTTATTTCAGTAAGCTATGAAATGTGAGGTTAGAGTATACTATTGGGTGGGGTGGTAGTATCTGCCCTGTCATTTTTGACGGGCTATATGCTAGTAATTATAATAGTTTCCAAAGAGGAAGAGAAAGACCCACACCTACATACTCAATAATGGACTAGTAAGCTAAGAAATGTAATAAAAAACTCGATCATCGTAAGATATCACTTTCTAGTTGCCTGACAAGAATAATAATAAAAAAACAGATGAAAAGTGGTGTTCAGAACATGTTAAAGCATAAAAAACTAAAAGGAATCACAGACATTTTAATGAGTTACAATATATTCAGAACCATACAAAAGCACTTCTAAAGTTTTATGAGATCAGGGTTATGAAGAAAACATAGCTGGGAATCTTTTGGGCTTACAAACCACCCTTCAGGCCTCTCTCGAAGTGGTTCACGATAAAGCTGATATTAAAACTGATGTGATGTGTATATGTCAGTATGTCTACGGTATTTCTACTGAAGCCATTAAATTATTGCCCTCAGTAACAAACCTCTATACAGAAGAATTTAAGTCACACAAGAAAGCATTTGAACAGATACAAAATTGGCTGCAAAACCTTGGCTTTTAATTCAAGACAAAAAATGAAAGGCTAGAAAAAGAAACTGATATTACCCAATGCACAGCTTTAATATCAACTCAGCTAATGATGCAAGTTACACCAAATCTGAAAAACACTAGCCCTGAAACAATTTCTTGCATTCAGTAACAGAAGACCTGTCATGTACCAAATTTCAAATAAAATAACATCAGAAACCGTAACTGTCACTGTCTGAATTTATTCACAGTTTAAATAAAACAACTTTTCAAGAAAACAGAAAGGTAGAAGTGTTTTTCTTATAGCAAAGCCATATCTGCTGTGTCCACCATGGGAAATCGAACCCCTGATTTTAGCATTGTAAATCCGAAGGCTTACTGCCATCCCATCGAGGGACTAAAGGTAAAAGAGCTAAAGACATAGGCTAATGAATATTCAAAACTGTTAAGTCAAATTTCTCAAAGCCTGATCAAAACAAAAGCTGGAGAAAAAAATGCAATGGATCAGGAACACTTAAAATTTACATAAAGTAAAACCAATATTGTGGACTGAAAACTTGTCGATTGAAACCGAAAATAGTTAAATTAACATACATAAAATATATAAGTTATAAACTGTGGAAAAGCCAAATGACAATTTATATCAAAAAGTTTGTTATATGATATTACATTTACTAGTGTACAGAAAAAAATGCAAGTAAATAAAAATTTCTTTGTACACCACAAAGTATCTGCCATTAGCTTTGTTTGTGAATGTTAAAAAATATTCATCAATGATTGAGGTTTACACATTTTAATTTTCAGGCAGAAATACAGACACTAGATTTCTGGAACAAAAATACTTGTATAAAAGAAAAAAGTTAAATACACTTTATGAATCAGCTTTGAAGCATATGTTACAATGAACACATGGAAATAAACAAAGATTTAAAGAGAAAAATTACAAAATGTTTTTTCTTCTAATATTATTTCAGAAGGGAATTCCATGCCATATTAATTTACATAATTAAAAATATCAAGATCACGAGCAAAAGTCAGCCACTCAAAAATCCCAACACTTGAAAAATTTCTAAGTATCAAACATCATCAATGGAGCTTCATATTACATTTTTCATATAAGTAAGAAACACACTTAATTTCTCTTCCATATTTTTTTTTTATTAGAAAACCTTATTTTGTACACAAGGTATACTAAGGTTTCACGTTTTTTCAAAAAATACTCCTGACTGAATGGTTTAGTAATACTAAATGACAATGCTAAAATGTAGTTTTAGATTTTAATCCAACAGCAAAAAAAAAAGGCATATATCCTAACAAAACAAATTTGTACAAAACACAAAATATCAGAACTTTAATTACCATACATTAATCAATAAGAAAAGAAGTTGGAGGAGTGAAATACAACAGAAATACAAATACTTTGCGCTTACGCTAACTGATGTGACATACTTTATCAAGGATTATGTAATATGTGACACTTGTCTAACAGGAGTGCATACCTTGGCCTACAATACTACAAGGCAAATATTTAGTTCACCACCAAAGACAATCCACTGGTAATTTTTTTTTTATTTGTAAAAAATAATTAGAGGGAATGCACTCTGAAGAAATCAGCAGTACTGTAGTACTTTTTCAAGTCTTAGTTAAAAGACTAACTACTAGCTACTGCCTTCCCTTAATCAGATTTAGAACATTAACATAATATGACATGTAACACAGTAGCATGCATCCAAGTCAGGTAACTATTTAAAACCCTGTCACACTTCATCTGATCTTGACGGTACAACTTGCTAAGGGAATCATTACAATTGTGGAACGTGAAAAGGCCGTGTTTTCTAAGTAAATTTTAACTGTTAACCCAAGTACGGTACAGTTTGTCTACTAATTTATTCAAAGCGAACAGCACTTCACATGAATATAAACTGTTCTACTTTCATTCCAGAAGAAATTTTTTTATTCCACAGACTAGTAATTTTGTGTTTGATACCATAATGGTTTCAAATCTATTCAAGTATTGAGAATGCTTAAAGTGTGCAGTATACACCAAAACTGAGAAATTTACTATAAACTTCAGTGACATTAGATATTAAGACTTTTAAAGTTTAAGGTAAGATCAACAGTAAAACTAAATGTACTAAGCTGAACTGTATAATTTTTTATGTTACTGTACTAAAAGCTTCAAACCTGTGTTTTGTACTGCATAATTACATCCCAGTATTTGGTTGAGAGGAATAAAAAAAGGTTACTTGTAATTTTTTTGTAACTTAAGAATAAATATTTCTTTTACATAATCAGATTTGTATCTATATATATAAAAGAAAAAAAAAGCAGTTTTTATTGTATTTGCATTACTTTCAAAGTGTTAAATCAGTTTTTTACTACGGTTCTTATAAACAAATGTATGTAGCAAACAGTTCCTCAGTTACGAGTCAAATAACTTTGCCTATTCTGTAATTATAATAAATTTAAAAACACAACAGCTTACTTGAGAACACATGTAATAATGTCAAAAAAAAAAAAATTGGTCTTTAAAAAGCGTACGTTTTAATCTTCATTAATCTTTGTTAGTTCTTCACTTGGGAGGTATACTGGACCCACATTTTAATTCAAACTTTTAGAAGACTGCTGACTCTGATTCATGCTACAGTGATTCACAGTAAGTTTTTGATTCAGTGAAAATGAACATACAAGTTCCAGTCCCTAACCACAGTTTTTCAATAACTTCCAATTTATTGTACTGATTAACAAGACTTCACTGACTGCCAAAAGGTGAGGCAATACCTGGAGGAGTGTTACACTGCAGCACCTCAGTTTATAACTGAGCTTATAATAAGATACATCTTCGTTTTGGCTTCTGCTCTGGAGGTTCCAAAGCAGCCAGGATTGCTTCATCAAACACGTTTTTCAGCCCTTTCTATAAAACAGCAAACAAAAAAAAAACATTACAACTTTTTATCTGATAAATAAAAGTAGTTAATTATCTTTCCAGAAATGTAATTTTATTTTAAATCTATGACCACATTTACTTCCTCGTATTGTTTCATAAAATATAAAGGGCATATGAATGATTTCCACAAGAAACACCGATTACACATAATACAGACAATGTATACATACCTTAGTTTTTCTCAAACATAAATCTTATGAAATGGTTTGTTTAACATTTGTTTAATCTATAAGTAATACCAAAAACTATTCATTTGTATAATTGTCGGATGCAAATACAGAGACCAATGATTCCTTTGCTTTAAACACAGAAGTCTTAACTCAGCATACAAAAGATTTCAGATTTTTTTTACGTTTGTAATATTAAATTAATAAGCTAAGCAGATACATAACAGCCATATCAATAAAATATTTAATACAATGTTAAGGAGATAACTTACCACATCACGGAAACATTATCACGTTACGAATGATGTAAATATTTAGACAACTGTACGAAACGTTTTGACTACTTACTTGCATAAATGTTATAAGTAATTAAGTTTAAAATATTGCTTGTGCACAATTCTGCAAGAAAAAAGGACAGCTGCATACAACTACATAAGCTCCCTGTTAAACCTAACACTTAATTGTCCATGAACTTGCTTCAAAATTTTACCTACCTTTTTCATAACTTCCACACTTTTTCAGGAAGCGATTTAAATCTATGAACTCCAACAGTTTTAAAATATTTTTTTCTAAACTGTTTATGCACCAATTTACTTGTGCATCCTTTACTTTCTAGTTACAAGGTCCCTAACAATATGCAATCCTCAGAAAAATTAATACTGGAATTAATCAAACCAATTGCAGATGAAGTTTCATAAATATCTTGTACACAATCTGTGATTTCACCCAATTTTCTCACAAGTATGTTAAACTGAGTATTGTAACAGGCAAAAAGAAATAACTCAACAGAATGTAATACATGAACCATACCAGTAGTAAATGGTTTATAAACTAATCAGTAATTTGTTAACTATTTCAACATGGACTCGGTCCATGGGACCAACCATGTTACCCCTTTTACTTGTAACCCTTGCTTATTCTTCCAAATGGAGGGTGTAGAGCTATTATTTTTTTTTATGCTTCAAAATGCATATAAAATAATAAAAAATATATCAACTTATTATATTAGTGCACACAAAACATATGTAATTTATTTGGGTGTCTAACCAAGCTTTATACGAGTTTTAAAAAATCCTGTTTCTCTTCAGAGCAACAACTTAGTCATCACACTTCAACATTTTTGATGAAATTACAATTTTCTCCTTCAAGCTGTTTACAAACAGCTGTAAGATTTACGTACACAAGTAACTGCTCTTCATATTGGTTATAAATTGTTAGAAAAATAAAAGTAGGTAGGACTAGACAAGAGGTTTTGAAAGAATGGAGTAGTGGGAGGAGCAAAACTACTAGATTGGCTAACTATACTTATATCTCAGCAAATCAAAGAGGTAGTAGGTTCTTATTTTTAATTATGACTTGTCAATATTATAAGCATTTGTCTGCTTCTATACGAAACTAGTGGCAAACATAGCTTCGGATTATTAAAATTTGATTTATTCCTCTTTATAATTTCAACTTCGGAATACAATATTTTAATCCAATTTTATACAATCCACCTACCCTTAAGATTGCTGTATCTAAGCCTAGATCTTTATGTGATATTTAACATCTGAAAACCTAGATAATTCTCTAGATTGGTTTTAAAAATCATTATACTGATGTGGTATAATGTAACTATGATATACTTATGAATTTTAAATTAAATACAATACAAGTTAAATACAAAGAGCTTAGTTAATTTGGTAGTTAGACTGACTTATGTGTGCTATATGTACGTGTGGAATATGTAAACATTTTAACTATTCTATAATATATTGAACTTCTTATCTATGAATAGCCAGTGTGGTAAAATCTAGTAGGAGAAGGTAAAAAAAAAAGAAGATTGTACTTTACGATATGTACACTAGATCAAGAATGATCAGTCTGGCTAAACCCAATAAACAGAAGAAGAGAAAATTACAGGCTAATCCGTTTATATAGATTAACTTAACACTTTAACTGTTTAAATAATGTATTTTCACTGCTTAGAAAATTTATTCAACCACTCACTGTAAGCAGCTGACTCACACTTGCGAGTCTTCTCAAAAATTGTGAGAGTAATTCATTGAAATACAAAATCACATTTTCAACAGCAGAGGGTAAATTCAATAATGCACATCTGGATCTCTTCAGAATTGACCAATCTTGAAACAAGTGATTAATAACACTGAATTATCTTACCTAAGGTACATTTTTTCTGAAGTTCATGTTTCATTTGTTTTCATAAATAAATAATTTACTCTACCAGCTTTCCTGGTTAGTTAGTAGTAGCTGTTAAAGGGGAAAAGACTGACTATTTGTGTTAGCAGTCTCACGAACAGTGAAGTCTGAGGTTTAATACAATCCTGACAGCAAAAACAATCAAAATATGAATCAATGCACTTTAAACATTACAAATAAGAACAGTGTGTTAAATTAGCAATATTCATTTTTGGATCAATTTTTAGATTTTTTGGATCAACGTAAGTAGCTTGCCTTGATCAAAAGTTTATGATAATTTAAGAAATTGTTGCAAAGAATATCCAAGATAAATGAAACATTAAAAGGAGCAGTGCCACCTATCTTAAATTGCAAAACATACTGACTAGCTTAAGTTACAATTCTAACCTTATCTAGTGTCATCTTATCAAAATAGATTATTATGGGTATTTTTTTCAAAGATGGTACACTAACTCAAAAGCCAATTTGTGCATTCAGGTTTTCATAACTTAAAACTTCTTGATCATACAATTGGGAGCTATTTTAAATAATAAAATGTAGTGATGCTGACATTATATGTCAGTCATAGTCAGTTCAGTGCTCTCACATATTTAGCTGAGGCATAGAGGCTCATAGAATGGCTCTGGGTTTTTCAAGTACAAACTTTTAGCTCGTAGCTCCATCATCTCTTGACCGATTTGAGATCTAATTACAGTTTTGGACTCAGGAGGTCAAACCCTTTTGATTGATGTATTTGACCATGACCAAGATCTCAAATTATTCTACTCTAATCCTGCCTAAAAGAATTTCAAGTGGCACGGTAATTGAGGATTCTCTCTCTTGTTTAAACTAGAAAACATTTTGAGAATGTAAAAAATCAACTGAAGAACGTCTAAAATTGTGTCAGTATCGAGCACTATTTGATAGTAAGAATACAAAAACATACAGAATAGGTCAACATAACATCAGCCCTCTACAAATATTTATTTTAAATTAAATTATGGAACACAGTCAATTAATCCAAATTTTTGAAGAATATCTATTGTTACAAAACTACAAAAACTCTTGCGATTGTTGTATTTTGGAAGAACTATATATGAGATGATGCATTAAATATGAAGTTATTAAATAAAAACTACTGAACAATTTACAACAAACTTTTTTTACATCTCTTGAGGTTGTAACCGGATAGGTTACATTCTCCAACATTAAAAGCAATATATTACTTAAAATTAGCTATAGACTATCAACTTGTAGCTCACTAGTGTATAGATATTTTCAGTAATCAATCCCGACATACATTATATTTATTCAGCAAAATACATTACAAAATATATGAAACAGACAAAACAAATAATCCATACACAAGCAAATGAATAATTTTTATGTACCTTACATGTATATGCAGTAAAGAAAATAATTATGAAATCACATAAGAAATACACATAAAGGAGTCACAAACAAGTAATGTCAAATAGATGACAAATTCATTAGGTTGCAAAATATACTAGTATTTTGTTTGCAAACCCTTTGCTATACACACAGCATTACATAGTCTTCTTTACTATCAAGATATTGTTTCAAACTTTTTTTTGCAAGCTTAGGATCATTGTCTTGTTGGATGATGAATCCCCACCTGTTGAATTGTATTCTTGAATAAATGGTATAATGTATCATAACCCACCTGTACCTGTCAGCAGTTAAGGCACCATCAATTCTGTATAGATACCAAAATAGGGATCTTGGCCCAAGCTTGTACTGATCCCCACCCTTTACTTTATTGTAGATGTTGTACAGTGACTACAATACCATTTTCCTCTCCACTGTCAAAAAACTATTGTTGCTGGACAATTCAAACTTCAGTTCCTCTGTAAAGCACATGTCCACAGCTTTGCTCATTCCACTGTTTGTGTCTGGTGCCTATTTCATCCTTTTGATTTGGGTACCTCAGTTTCTGTTCCATTAACTGTTCATTCGGATAACTTCATGTTAAAGTACAGAATAATGTTTTAAAGAATACACCCTGAAATACTTTTGAATTTTCAGATTTTTTACTCCAGCCACTTGTTTAAATGTGATATTTCTAACTGAAGTAACAATGGCATAATGAACAAAAGTGCATTGAAACATTTTAAGATTATTCTCAAATACTTAAACCAGACTAAGCTTAGTGTATTCCCGAAGAAGCTGTAAAAACAAACACCTACTTGTGTCAAAGCAGAGCATTCCACATATTTGACAGCCTTAAGTTCTTTGGCCAGCTTTTCTCCTTGTTCATATGTGATTGGTTTTTGCTTATTCTTAGCCAGCTTTTCGATAGTTGCAGCATCATCACGTAAGTCTATCTGTGTACCAACCAGCAAGAATGGTGTCTTCTGACAGTGGTGTGTTATTTCAGGAACCCACTAGAATAAAGGATTTAAAAAATGTTCATATATATATATTAGCTTAAAAAGTAATATCAGAACATTTGGAAACCCTAAAATAATTAATTGTGAATAACACTGTAACCCTGTATGTGGGCTTGGTCATTTTGACCAACTCTGTAACCACCAGGTAACAATTAAACTCTACCTACAATAGCTTTGGATGTAGTAATTGTATCTTCATGAAATTTGGGAAGCTTTTAGTACACATTATAAATCTGTTTGTATATAAAATACCATATTTTTTAATAAACTATTTTTACTAAAGATTTGTTTTTGAATCTATGAAGTTTTTACTGAGTCAGCCTGAGTACAAAGTGGTTTTCATGTTTATCAGAAGTTGTTTTTTAGTACAACTTTGTATTTTATCTCTTATCCTTTCCACCCTAATATTAACCATATACAGGTTTAAGTAATATGACCAACCTTTATAACCACCACACAGCAAAAAACATGAAATAAATCTAAGTTACTCTTTTTTTTTCTTTCTAGAATGACTGCACATTGTAACAGACAGTTTCACACTATTTATTTTCACAGTCACTATGAAAAAAAGCAATTTATCATATTAGGAAAGCTTTGTGTAAACAAAGTGTTGGTTTATCAGCATGATCGGTCAAATTGAAACATGCTACACTTAGAAGATGTCTCAGAGTATATTTTTTATTTAATTTTTTTAATCTATTTTTCTTATCTAATCTAATATCTTACATCTTTACATTTTAGTTACTTTTATAATAATAAAAAATTGTATACATAAAAATTAAATTAAGTATTTAAATATTTTTTTATTTTTTACAGTCAAAATCTTGATAAGTTAACCCTACTTTTTGGTAAGATTGTTTTAAGTACTTTACTGAATTTTTATTTATTTCAAAAAATAATTAGATGCACAACTAATAAAATGTCCTGTAATTAGTATAATTTCACAGGCTTTCTAATTAACCTATAGATGGTTTGAAATAATTCTGTTGGCTGGTTGAGGATTTGACGACAGCAAAGAACGAAACTGTAGGCCAAATACTTCATAAACTGTTTTCAGAACGAGTCATCATTATAAGTAATACAGTAAATCAAAACCTCTTTTTCTTGGTTATAAATAATCCAATAACAAATGTCAGAGAGAATTACTTAATTTTTTGAGCAACAGTATGTGAAAGGAGGGCATGGCTTCAGAGTTGACTGTATGGTTTATATTTATACTATAAATGTATAAGGTATATTAAATTCAGAAGTTCAGATATGGGTAGCAATAATATCTAAAATGAACAAGTTGGAGCAACGAAGTGTCAATTGATACATAAAATTGATGACTGAGAAGTTATATAAATATTTCCTTTTACTATTAAGTAATCAAAACTTAGCCTTGAAAAGCACACCAGAGCTTGAAATAACTGTATTAAATCTCAAACTCTAACACAAAGATTTAGTAACAGAAAACATATTTTAATCACAGTATTGCTAAGCAAATGATGATAATGAACTAAAAAAGTCAAAAATGATAAAAAGTTCAGTACATTTTTAATTTAAACACCACAATAACATGCCAAGCATTTTTACTCACTGCATACACAAGTTTCAAAACGGTAACTGTAAAAATAGCAAAAAGTGTTAGCATTGTAAAAGACTCCATAAATAATTTTAAAAAACATTTGAAATGCATCTGAAATAATCCCAAGTATAATTAATAACATGAGAATAACTAACCTTTTCTTTAACATTTTCAAAAGAAGAAGGAGATACAACAGAGAAACAAACAAGAAATACATCTGTTTGTGGATAGCTGAGAGGACGCAGTCGATCATAATCTTCTTGGCCAGCAGTATCAAATAAACCAAGGGTGTACGGTTCTCCTCCTATCATCACAGTTACTGCATAGTTATCAAACACCTGCATATAGTAGAATGAGAGCATAAAGTCAGAAAATAAATCAAATATCTCCTTAAAATCTTTTAAACAATTACTATTCAACCCACAAAGGTTCATTTGTGAATGCAGAAGAAAAAATAAGTTTTATAGTCGAACAAGTTTCACTTTGGTACACAAAGAAAATAATGAAAAAGGAGAATTCAGTGATTAATATTTAAGCTTAATGAGAGCGAAGATATTTTTGTATAAAAAAAATGGTACATTTTGAAAATGTTTTGATTTAGATGTACAGCAACCTATAGCTTATTTTACCAGTACAATCCAACTAAAGACATCCTATCTTGTACAATATAATCTAGCTGGTTTCAATTTCAAAATTTAACAGCCACTTCTTACAAATTATTTTTAAAGTACTTATAAAATACATTGTAAAACAATATGCTTCAATGGTTATGATTTAAAACACTTTTTTTTACAACTATCTTGTGGACTGGTGATTTGGAACCACTGATCTAGACATTCATGTTTCTATGTTATCATTCAATAATGTCTGTATCATGTAATAAGCCGTGAGAAAATTAAAAGAATAAACTGAGAGAATAATAATTTTTAATGAAAAAATGAAAAACTTTACTTAAAAGGTTCACACCACAAATGATACAAAAAGAAACCTACGGTTGGTACATATTCTGATGGAAACTTGTTGGTTGTGTAAGATATCAACAAACAGGTTTTACCCACTGCACCGTCACCAACAACTACACACTTGATGGTTTGCATGTTTTTAGATTTGATGCGCTCAGGACCTTTCTAGTCCCACGCTGATTCCTAAAAAAGAAAAAATTAAAATACATATTTACTGCAAAATGAACAACTTTGGCTAATGATTTTTTTACCACATTTATAAAAAAGTACATCTTACACAAATGTTCAGAGCTTATGAAGAAAAATAATAAAAGTTCACTAACTTGCAACAAGCTTCTCAATCAATAATGGCTGGAGACGGCTTAAATGGGTAATGAAGAAAAACTTTAATATAAGTTTAACATGACAGCAAATGTACAACGTTTTGTCATCATCACTCACATACTATTTAATATAATTGAATATGAACATTAGATGAATTAATGAGAACTCTCACAAATCAATAGTTATTTTATCGTGTTAACTAAGAGCTAAAAAGTTTATAAACTGTAACGAGAAGAGTCGAATTTTAAGATGTGCAATCATACTCTTGAAAATGTTTCATTTGCCTACCCTTTTCAAGTATGAAACAGTTTTAAACTAAATAACCAGCCAAGGAACTAAAACAACACACAACACTTCATACACATCCCTACGTGAACAGACTACTGGATGCGATAAGGTCGCAGACACCCAAAGTCTTCACATTAACTTGCTAGTCAAGCAAGTGTCAGCTGCAATTAAAACTGTTTAGTGAGTTTAGCAGTAACAACAGTACTTCAGTGGAAACTATCAATGCAATCACACAAAATTAAAATCAAAATATGAGATTAGAGGTAAAGATGATAGGGGTGTGAATAAGATGATAATCAGGATTAAAATTTATAATACAGTAGTTAGATCAGTTCTGCTGTATGGATCAGAGACATGGGCACTGAGAAAAAAAAAAATTGCAGGAGAGGATGAAAATGAGAATGTTATGTTGCATTATGGAGAAAATTATGAGTGATATTAGAAAGTGGGTTGAGGTATGTAAGATAACAGAAAAAACTTGAAGATAAAGGTGGCACGGTACACGGAAAGAAGGGTGGAAAATAACCCGGTGAGAAGAATATTTAGAATGTTAGTCAAAGGCAGACATAGTAGAGGATGTCAAAAACTGAAATAGAAAGATAGGATAGATCGAGATATATTTGAGAGAAACGGGTGTAACTCGAGAGGGTGTGATAGATAGAAATTATCGGAGAAGGACTACCCGAGCGACCAACCCCAAAACTAGATGGGATTAAGGTTGAATGCTTGGTCATTTTGACCAGCTTTGGAACTCCCATGTAATCATGAAATTATATATTCAACTTTTAGTTTACTAGGTGTATCTTCATGACAGTTGGCAAGCTTTTAGTAAATATTACAAGTCTTTTACATACAAAAAATCAGATTTGTAGAGTCAGAGTAAATTGACTTTTGTTAAGATCAAAAATACCTGTTCATTTTACAGTTTTTAAATTTCATTTGCTTAACCTCTAAACCTCTTAAATGAATATCAAAACATTTTCTTAAATATACCTTTATATATTATCTGTTATTTTCTCTACCTTAACATTTATACAGACTATCCATTTGATAGACCTTGTAACCTACCCAAAAAACACGAGATAAACCTAAATTACCCTTCATTTTTTTATAAAATGACTGCATATTGTTATAGACAATAACACACCTATTTATTTTTACAGCCAAATCTCCTTATCATTTAGATTTATTGCTTAGATTAATATTAATATTATTAATATTAAAACAGGGAAGCTTTATGAAGACTCAGCAACAAGTTATCAGCATGCTCAGTCAAATTAGAACATGCTGTTCTCAAGAAACATGCTTGTGCTATGGAGTACATCTCATTAGTACAGCAAATTACAATTTTTGTTGTTTTTTTTATCTAGCCTAACAAGTTTCTAATTTTTAAATGTTACAACAATAAATACAAAATATGCATAAAAGGCATGAAATTTAGTACTTGCATTTTTTCTTCTCTAAAAGTCTTAAGTTAACCTATTTTTTGTAAGGATGTTGTCAGTCTTTACTTAATTTTTATTTATATGAACATGCAAAAAAAAATTATTATAATTTAACTGGCTTTCTAACTATATATGCATGTAAAAATATTATCCTTTCCTGGTCAAGGCAATTTTAGAGGTATCAAATTATGAAATTGACTCATAATAACTCAAAATTTATTGTAAGAACTAACCTCATAAGGAAAACTGTAAATAAAAAATCTGCTCTTTCTATTGGTGATAAATAATCCAATAGCAAATGTCAGAATTACTCTAATTTTTCAGAGAGAATATGTGCTAGAAGGGGCATGAAATTTAAGGTTTCAGTTTATGGCACATAAATCATTAAAGCAAGAAGGACTGTTGTTATACATTTTTATTTTATCCCTGGGGTATCTAACATACAAGTGTGTAAGTTCTCAGAAACTTAGAAAATAATATAAGAGTGGAAAAAACTTCTAAAATGGGTAAGTCAGAGCAAAGAAGTGTCATGTGATAAATAAAAGTGCTGACTACGAATTTATTTAAATATTTTCTTTTGAAATTAAAACTTGAATATTAAAATTTTAAATATAAACTAAGTTTATTATCGTACACTGATAATAAAGTAGTTTAAATCTTGAATGTAACTCTGCAAAAAGGTCATGACATGCGCACTTTGACCTACCAATATCTAGAAGATTAACTAAACACGAGTAAACAATGATCATCAGCTGATTGGTTTAACTATTTACCTGAGAGATTTGGCTCACTTTCCAGTGAAAATTGACAAAATTTACTAGAAAACGTGAGGTTCAGTGAAAAGCTTCACACGGTATATCTATTACATATTCATTTTTTTTTTTTTACTTTCAAACAGAAAAACATTTGTTTTATATTTATTATTATTGACATTTCACTCTACCCTTCAGTAAGAAATTAAACATTTGATTACAATATCACACACTAAAACACACTTTACTTTCCTAGTTTAAGCAATAACTCATTATCATTGTTAAACAGACATTTCAATCTAGTAAATATCTACAAACTCCACACAATAACATGATTTTTGTTTGAATAAACGATAAAGGTAAAGACTCGTTGGTATGATGGACTGTTCCCAGGCTCATATGTACCTGGTTTGTTGTGTCCAATATATAAAATGCATTAATCTCTACACAAATGTTTTATGAAATTCTAAAGAAATATATTACTTTGCAGCACTCATGTTTTCAAAGTGCAAAATTTAGGGTGTCGTGGAAATGCTTACAAACTTTTTCTTTCGGTACTCTCACAATTACCTTTAAGTTATTTTTTCTGTGGGAGAACAATATCATTTATTATTCATAGCTACAGATCATCCTAAACTTCAGTCAATGTTACATAACACACAGACAAGGGTTCAACAGGTCTTTCAAGGTTGTCTCTACCCACTCACCCCCTTTAAGACTTCACTGCCCTCAGGTTTTGTTTAATTATCTGCATAATTAAATGCTACTGACTTTGTAAAAAAGCAAAATCATAAAACTACTTCCCAAAATACTTGTCTTCCTAGCTATCTCGTGCATCAAAAATGGGGATGAAGTTACAAATATATTAATCTATAGATAATACACACACACACACATATTTATATAAAAATGAATAAATTAAATTCTGTGCATGAAATAACATTTCATTTAGGACAGCAGAAATAATATGCTATGTTCAATCTAATTTGGAGCAATAAAATAAATCCCACTTTCTTTCCAGTTTTCAAAATCTTTTCCTAATCAACTTTACACGGCTGTTTGTAGCCAATAAAAGACAGAGCAGATTCTACTGTACTTAAATCTTGCATGTTGTTGTTTAGTTTTTGTGATGCAAACTGTCAGACAGTGGAATTACTTGGTATGTGATGGTCACATTTGGTGCTCGTAAAATAATTTTTGTAATCTACTTATGGCTAACTAGGAAAGCCAGATATATTGTAGTTTTAGGACATTTTATTCTAGTGACCAATATATTTTTCATGTTCTAAAATGCACAGTTGACAGCTATACAAATTCATTTTTGGACAGCCAAATTTATGAGACTCAACAACATAACATGTAACATAATATTTTGGGATGACATGGGACCTAATGGTCCGTCTCGGCTGTTCCATTCTCTAAAATAAATTGAAATGATTAAAAAATTAAAATAAAAAACTTAAACCCAGCCCTTTTCATTCATATACTTATCAAGTTTTTCTAAAACCCACTGCCTCTACAACATCTGAAAGCAACCCATTCCA